CTCAGATGGAGAGCCTGTGAGCGCTCTCGTTAAAGTTAGATTGAACCTTAATTGAGCACCAAGAGGGGTGCCTGACATCCCCAGAGAGAACTCTGGGCAGGAGGAGCATGGGGTCCCCAGGGAGCTGTGTGCAGACCTGAGGGACAGCAGGCTGTGGGGTCCCCAGGGAGCCATATGCAGACCTGAGGGACAGGAGGCTGTGGGGTCCCCAAGGAGCCATGTGCAGACCTGAGGGACAGGAGGCTGTGGGGTCCCCAGGGAGCCGTGTGCAGACTTGAGGGACAGGAGGCTGTGGGGTCCCCAGGGAGTCGTGTGCAGACCTGAGGGACAGGAGGCTGTGGGGTCCCCAGGGAGTCGTGTGCATACCTGAGGGACAGGAGGGTCTGTGGCCTTATCGGAGAGGGCCTTGAGAACTGCTTTCAGCAGTGATTGGAATAACAGGAAACAGATTTATCTTCCAAGCCTAATCAAGTGGGAAACACAAGAAGACATGTGAAAACACGTGAAAGAAATGTTTTCAGACATTGGATAAGAAGGAGTAGGGACGGGTGCCTCAGAGAAAGAGAACAGCTCTCTCCCACATGGAGCCAGCAGCCAGAGAGCCTTGAAAGCTCTGCGTTCCAGGAGTCCTTGCACCTGCTGCCAAGCTTGTCGGAGTGAGCTTCACTGTGCAGCCCTCAAAGGAGGGCCAGGCTCTGGTGGATTCCAGGCCCAGCCAGTGCCCAGGTCAGCACAGGTTTCCTTAGTGCCAACATCATGACACACTGAGAATAAGTTGACATATGGACTTTATAAAAATCAAGTTTTTACTCTTCTAAAGACAGTATTAAACAAATAAAAAGGCAAATGAGAAGAAAATACTTTTAATACATATCATCTTCAATTCAACCATCAGACAAACAACTCTGTGTGTGTTTTTTTTAAGGTTAAAGATTTGAACATCCATCACAAAAGAAGACATAAGAATGGCCACTAAGCACAAGAAAATGTCTTTAGCCTCACCAGTTATGTCACCTGGGCAGAGAGGTGGGCCGTGCACAGCAGGGGGCTGTGCCGTGCGCAGTAGTAGAGGGTCGTGTGCAGGAAAGGGGTCCACCCCCATTAGGTCACCGAGGCAAGGAGGTGGGCTGTGTGCAACAGGTGTCATGCGCAACATTTCTTATCTGGGAGCTGGCGACTTCAAAGGGTTTCTAATAGAAGGATACCATGAGCCAATGCAGTGGGAGCTGACAGACTTGTGCTCTTCTCTAAAATATTTATGGGAGGATGATTTGAGCTAGCACAGAAATGAGAAAAGACTGACAGGGTGTACAGCCGCCGTGAGTGGTCACACCAGAGGAGTTCTTCTCCCTTGGTTACTTCCAGGATCTCAGGCCTGAGGCCGACTTTCCACAGGAACTGGATGCAAGGTGCTACAACTCCTTTATCAGGAGGAGAGGCACTTTCTCCAAGCCTGCCATACAGTGTATGCCTTTTCAGGCAGGGATGCCACCGCCTGGGTCTTTGGTTCTCGTCCTGGTCTGGCTGTTTTCCCATGTACTGCTTCTGTTCTGTGACTGCTCTAGGCATTCCTCCTGCTACAAACTACTATATGGTTATGTAGAAGGATTCCATAAATCAGCACTGAATGTGTCAGTACAGCTCCGACTACAATACCTGTATGATTATATAGAAAGATTATATAGAACTAAGTATGCTAGATATATGTAAGCAGTAAGGTAGACTTCAAGCACTAATTCTATAAACTAATATATGATTATATATGAAGGATTATATAAAGTAAACAGCTGAGTAATAATACTATAAACTAAAATATTCCCCAGGTACTAGTTGTGCCTGGGGTCTGGACAGTTCTCCTTCCTCAGTGCCCATGGGGGATGTTACCCACAAAAAGGTACCGCAGTGTCATGGGTTTTTTCTGGTTCTCTGCCACGGGATAACTTTCCCAACTTGAATGCTTTCTCATAGATGAAAATGTCATTTAACAAAACAAACCAAAAAAAAAAAAAAAAAAAGAGCCAAGTACAGTGGCTCCTAAAGTGGCACTTTGGGAGGCCAAGTTGGGAAGATTTCTTGAGGCCAGGAGTTTGAGACCAGCCTGGGAAGCATGGCAAGACCCTGTCTCTACAAAATAACAGTAGCCGGGCATGATGGTACACACCTGCAGTCCCGGCTGCTCAGGGGGCTGAGGCGACAGGATCACCCGAGCCCAGGAGGTCAAGGCTGCAGTGAGTCGTGATCGCACCATTGTACTCCATCCTGGGCCACCGAGAGAGACCCTGTCTGAAAACCAACCAGCCAACAAACCAGCTGCACTTCTAGGGCAGTGGGAGGTGGGGTAGATGGGTTCCTCCCCGCTCCTTCTGCTAAGTTCAGCGAGAAACTGGGGGCATCACACACAGAAGGCTCTGAGTGGAGAGTGAGGTGAACAGGGGGGTGGGGCCCTTGGCTCCAAGGAGCAAGGCAGAAAGAGCTCCCTGGGTTTTTCCACCAGCTGGAGCCAAAGGAGCCGGCAGCCTGGAAACGGCCCTGGGTGCGGAAATTTAAAATCTGAAAATCCCATCGAGGTCCCAGCCTCTCCAACCGCAGGTCCACAAAAGGGTCGCCAGGAAGACAGATGACATGTCTTTCAGATGATCATCACACTATTCCAGCCAGATGCCAGGGAAAGGCTGTGCCCGCCTCCCCTCACCAAAAGGCAAGTGGGGAGCTGAGAGTGCCACTGAAGATGCAGCCACGCCCCCATCTCCAGGGTGGTGGAATGGGAGGCAGGACTCCATCCCCAGTGTCGTGGTAGTGAGCCCCAGTGTTGTGGTAGTGAGCCCCAGTGTCAGTGGAGGCTGCACGGGGAGCGCGAACTCCTGCCCCTGCACAGCAGCCAGACAGTGCCCTCCTCTCCCCACCAAGGCAGGGCCAGGACCCTCCGGAAAATCCAGAGTCTCGTACGCAATACCCAGAACATGGAGGTTTCCATCAGAGTCACTTGCCACACCAAGAACCAGGAAGATTTCAAGGTGAATGGAAAGACAGTCAGTAAAAGGTGGCCCTGAGATGGCAGAGACGTTAGCATTCTCTGACAAAGGTTGGGAAACAGCCACGGGACATGCTCTAAAGAGAAATTACAAACACACTGGGAACAAATGGCAACATAGAGCAGCCCAACAGACAAGATGCAGAGCAGAGCCAAATGGAAATCTTAGAGGTGAAAAATAGCCCAGACAAAAAATGCCACGGCTGGGCTCAGCAGCAAAACGGAATGGACAGAGGACAGAGGCAGCGAACTGGAGACTGAAAAGCAGAAAGTGCTCAGTGAACAACAGAGAAAAACTGACCAAAAAAAAAGGATCAGAGCCTCAAGGACATGCAAGGTGGACTCTATGCCGTGTGTGTGGGATCCCCGGCCTCTGTGCCGTGTGTGTGGGAGCCCTGGCCTCTGTGCCGTGTGTGTGGGAGCCCTGGCCTCTGCACCGTTTTTGCCCTAGGAGTTCCAGGGCAGGAGGGACAGGCTAGGAAAGTACTTGAAAGAATAATGGCTGAAAACCTCCCAGATTTGACCAAAGACGTAAATGTACAGATTCAAGAAGGTAAGCAAACCCCGAACAGGATGAATTCAAAGAAATTCACACTAAGATAATCATAATCAAACTGATGAAAACCAAAGACAAACCGCATTGAAAGCAGCGGTGAGGAGACGGTAGGTAGGGACGATTGAACAGCGTGCAGGCAGAGGGACTGCAGTGCTGGGGAAAGGCCTCGTGGGCACAGATGCTGCAGCCCCGAAGGCCGCTTCTGGAATTGAAAGGGGGAATGGGCAAGACACGTGTCCAGCAGTGCCTAGACAATCTCCAAACTCAGCCATGCAGGAGCAGTCCAGTTAGGAAAAGGATAGAAGGCACAGAGACAGCCGCCCTGCGTGTCGCATGTAGAGACAGCCGCCCTGCGTGTCGCATGTAGAGACAGCCGCCCTGNAGAGACAGCCGCCCTGCGTGTCGCATGTAGAGACAGCCGCCCTGCGTGTCGCATGTAGAGACAGCCGCCCTGTGTTTTGGATGCACAGACTGCAAGGAAGCTCCTGAAACGACACCTGCATCGTCAGCCACAGGGAGACCGGGTTAGATGGCAGGACGCTCCGCCTCACATCTGCAGAATTGCGGGGAAGAGTCACGGAAACGGGGTAGCTCTCGTATCACCTTAGGAGCGTAAATCCCACAGTCTGGAAGATGTTTCAGCGGTTTCTTTGAAAAACTACACCACCACCATGTGACCTGGCGCTTACACTCCTAGGCCTACTATCTCAGCTGGCCCTCCTGTCCAAAACAAATGGAAACTTCACCAAAAAAACTGTGCAGTGAACATTTACAGCAGTTTTATTTGTGTTAATCAAAACTAGGACTAACCCAGATGTACTTCAGTGGTTAACCTGTGCTTCATTTGCCTGCCACAGAATACTAGTCAGCAATAGAAAGAAATGAGCTATTGATACAGCAGCAGCCGGGATGAATCTCCAGAGGACTGTGCTGCAGAAAAGACGCCAGTCCCCAACGCTGCCTGCTGTAGAGTGCCGTTTGCATAGCATTCTTGAAATGACCGATTAGAGATGGAGAACGGGTTTGTGCTTGCCAGGGGTGAGGAGGAGGTGGCAGAGGGAAGTGGCTGCAGCTGTAGAGCAGCCGCAGGAGGGACCCTGTGCAAGGGGTGCTCTGGGCAGGAGGTGTCTGTGTGTATTCTGGTGGGGAGGTTCACAGTGACCTCAACATAGAAAGGTAAACATGTTTAAAAATCATTCTTCTACCCGTAAGCATTTGGATGTACAGAACGTGTTATTGGGCCATGAGGTAAATGCTCAGTTCTCTGCAGTAATCTCCCTTGGTTGCCAGCTTGCTTTTTTGATTTCGTGGAGTATTTTTGGTTTTTTGGGGCTGCACTGTAACCCACAGGTCTCTTCATTGCTGTGCGGTAGAAGTGTCTCAGGTTCGTGCACTCTGCTCTTGGTCTTGCAGGTATGCGACTGTATACACCATGTTCCCCGTGTTCTCCTTAGTGCTGGACCAGGACGTGAAGCCGGAGATGGCAATGCTCTACCCGGAGCTGTACAAGGACCTCACCAAGGTACGGGCCTCAGCAGGCGTCTGCCTCACCACGGGCACCCACACCTGTACAGGGACCTCACCAGATGATGGGCCTTAGTGGGCATCTGCCTTACCATGGCACGCACGCCTGTATAAGGACCTCAGCAAGGTATAGGCCTCAGCAGGCGTCTGCCTCACCACGGGCACCCACGCCTGGCATATTACATGAGTGCGAAATAGGCCAGTCAGAGGCATTTCCAAGCATTTTGTGAAAAACAGTTCTCTGTCCTTCGAGATGTTTTTTATGTCTCCTGATTTTTTTTGGCATTTTCCCTTTGAGTTAAATTTCAAAAGGGGAAAAACATATCTGAAAAAAGTTTTCTGAAATGTTTGCAGTAAAGCTCTGATTTACACGAAATTAGAATTGTAAAGGATGCTCTAACCATTTGTGGAACTTCTGTGAAGTGAGCTCACCAAATGTCAGAGAAGAGGTCACTTGGTAATTTCTGTCGAAAGGCTCCCCGGGCAGCCTTGCAGCACCTGCGCGGAAGTAGCGTTCTGAAGCCGGGGGTCCTGGGCTGCATGCTTCCCATGTATTTCCAAATCTGTCAGTAGTTGTGGACTTCAGAATTACATCTGAAAAGCGATTGACAATACGCTTGTCCCTGAGATCCATAGGCTATTTTTTCAGTGATGCCACAAGAAAAAAATCCAACCCAGAAAACTTCAGTCACCTGAAACTCTGTGAAAGATGCATTTATTTGGCTTAAAACTGTGCTGTGTTAGGATTAAAGTATTCTTAAAGGAGGCTTTGAATTTGTCATATTCTTTACGACAGCATATTTTATAGCATAGGACCTGTAAGGATACAGGGTAGATAGAAGAGAGGCTCAGCTCTTCAGACACAAGTCGTGCCAACTCTGGTATTTCCCACAAAGCCAGCTTTTTTGAACCAACACTAAGAACAAAATCCACTAATCCTTAATTAAATTTAGATTTACAATCAATAAATGACAGGCATCTGAAATTATCAACTCAGATTTTTAAAGCAGTACCTGTATGGTAAAGAATTAGATTAGGTGTTAAAGAAACTAGACTTTATGGCCAGGTGCGGTGGCTCACGCCTGTAATCCCAGCACTTTGGGAGGCCGAGGCGGGTGGATCACGAGGTCAAGAGATCGAGACCATCCTGGTCAACATGGTGAAACCCCGTCTCTACTAAAA